GTTGTATAATTTTATGACTTTACTACTCATTTTGATACATTATTGATCGCTTCCGGTCTTGACTTTAATTTGAGAATCTGTTATATTGGTTTTTGGGTAAAAGTAAAATGAGAACTTAATGGTATTTTCCGCGTTGGCTGGCCTGACAATGGTGTCAGGCGCCATCATGACCTATTGTGGAAAGTGGGTCGTGACAACGTGGTATCAGAGCACTAGGTTCACGTAGGTCACACAAGTTATGGGCAAACCTAATAGAGTCTTACAGGTCAATACGGAGACGTCTGTATTTATCTTTGAGAGGCTACAGGGTTTTAGGAAAACTATCTTTGTTCATCTCATCTCGTGCAGTGGTCAGTGTACTAAGTTTCCTTCTCTATTCTCTCAAAGATGGTGAGGACACCCACGACTGATGTTCCAGACCCGGGCGGAGCTGCTCCCCCTGTTGCTCGAGGCCTAGGCAGAGGTCGGGGGAGGGCACCGGCCTGTGGCAAGGGACGAGGGTGTCCCAGAGTTATTCTAGTCGTACCACCAGCAGACCCCGCGGGAGATCCTATTATTGAGGAGCAGGGGGGGTGCCCGCAGCTGAGCCCACCCCGGTAGATTTTATGACGACACCGGGATTTCAGGAGGTTATGGGCCGTATGCTTCGGTTCATGGATTCTATGGCTCAGGCCGGTTTATTTCCAGCAGACCCAACTACCTCACAGGCAGGAGAGGGAGCACAGACCCCTACTGCTTAGGCTCCTGGACATGCAGCTGTAGTGTATCAGACTCCGGGTGCACTACCCGCAGATGGGGGCCACCCAGTTGCTGTAGTGGCGCCCCAGCCCAGGCTAGCTGCGGATGGCATCCGCAGAAGTTGTTGGATAGATGGACTAGGCTTCACCCTCCGGTCTTCGGGGCAGGAGCGTCATGAGGATTCCCAGGACTTCATTGATAGGTGCAGGGACAGGCTGGACAACATGAGGATATTGGAGTCGCATGGAGTTGACTTCACCACTTTTCATCTTGAGGGCAAGGCCCGCAGATGGTGGCAGTCTTATGTTCTGGGTAGGCCAGTAGGTTCTCCTCCTATCACTTGGAGTGAGTTCACACAGTTGTTTCTGGACAGGTATCTTCCACCCTCCGAGAGGGAAGAGCTGCGGTATCAATTTGAGCAGCTAGAGCAGGGCCAGATGTCCGTGACTTATTACGAGGCGAGGTTATCTGAGCTATCCCGCCATGCATTGATGATACTTCCTACTGACGTAGAGAGGGTGCGGAGGTTTGCTGCAGGGCTACATTCTGGCATCAGGGCCAATATGGCCCGAGAGGTAGAGATGGGGACTCCTTATCAGTTAGTAGTGGAGATTGCTCGGAGGATTGAGGGTTACCGTCATAGGGGTAGGGAGCAGATGCAGCAGGATAAGAGGGCTAGGTTCTCTGGAGAGTTCAGAGGTGCCCCGGCTAGGGGCAAAGGTCAGTTCTGGAGAGGGCAGCCCAGCAGACCCCCATATTCAGCACCTCCACCTGCTCGAAGTGCTCCAGCGCGCCCTTATTTCGGCGCCATGCCAGAGAGTTCTTATCGCCCACCAGCTATCCAGGGTTCCTCCGGTGGGTATTCAGGTCCTCAGGGTTCTTTTGATTCTTACTTTACTGCTATGCCGGAGAGTTCACACCGTCCACCGGCCATTCAGGCTTATTCCAGTGGATCTGTAGGCCATCAGGGTCAGCCATCAGGGCAGCAGGTCGCCGCACCGCGGGGTTGTTTCGAGTGCAGGGACCTTGGAAATATGAGGAGATACTGCCCCAGGCTGCGGGGCAAGGCAGTACAGCAGGGCCAACAGCCTACGATTTCAGCACCGGCTGCCCCGCCACCTAGAGGTGGAGGACAAACTGGTAGGGGCCGTCCTATGGGTAAAGGTCAGGTAGGGAGAGGTCAACCAGCTACTGCTCAGCCAGGTGGAGGCCAGCCAGCCGGCGCTCCAGCCAGATTCTACACTCTTCCAGCCAGGCCAGATACATTGGCCTCAGATACCGTCATCACAGGTATTATTCCCGTCTGCGGTAAATATGCTTTGGTATTATTTGATCTAGGGTCCACCTATTCGTATGTATCATCACTGTTTGCTCGATTCCTGGTTATTCCTCCTGCACCTTTGGGCACTCCTGTCCATGTGTCCACTCCTGTGGGCGATTCAGTAGTTGTAGACTGCGTCTACCGGTCCTGTGTGGTTACATTATGTGGCTTTAAGACTAGAGCAGATCTCTTGTTGCTTGATATGATCGATTTTGAGGTCATCCTGGGCATGGATTGGTTATATCCATATCACGCCGTCCTAGATTGCCATGCCAAGACTGTTTCACTAGTGATGCTAGGGTTGCCGAGGTTGGAGTGGAAGGGTTCCACAGTTGATACCCCTAGTAGGGTTATTTCTTTCTTGAAGGCTCGGCGTATGGTCGGGAAGGGGTGTTTGGCCTATCTAGCTTATGTTCGAGACACCACCGCAGAGTCTCCGACGATTGATTCAGTTCCCGTAGTCCGAGAGTTCACCGATGTGTTTCCTTCTAATCTTCCTGGCATGCCACCGGATCGTGATATTGATTTCTTTATCGATTTGGTTCCAGGCACCCAGCCTATATCTATTCCACCGTACCGCATGGATCCTAAGGAGTTGAAAGAGCTGAAGGAGCAGCTTGAGGAGTTGTTAGCAAAGGGGTATATTAGACCCAGTGTATCGCCTTGGGGTGCACCGGTGTTATTTGTGAAGAAGAAGGATGGGACTATGCGGATGTGCATTGACTACCGCCAGTTGAACAAAGTCACCATCAAGAACAAGTATCCGTTGCCTCGTATCGATGATTTGTTCGACCAGTTGCAGGGTGCGAGGGTGTTCTCTAAGATAGACTTGAGGTCAGGGTACCATAAGCTGAAGATTCGGGACTCGGATGTTCCGAAGACTGCATTTCGGACTAGATATGGCCATTATGAGTTTCTAGTGATGTCATTTGGCTTGACTGATGCCCCAGCAACATTTATGGATTTGATAACAGGGTGTTCAGGCCTTATATTGATTCCTTCGTCATCGTCTTCATTGATGACATCTTGATATACTCACGTAGCCTGGGGGAGCACGAGCAGCATCTGAGAGTAGTGCTTCAGACCTTGCGAGAGCAGAAGCTATATGCTAAGTTCTCCAAGTGTGAGTTTTGGCTAGATTCAGTAGCATTCTTGGGACATATTGTGTCAGGAGAGGGTATCAAGGTAGATCCCAAGAAGATTGAGGCAGTTCAGAGTTGGCCACGCCCTACTTCAGTGATTGAGAGAGATCAGGAGTTTCTTGGGGTTAGCTGGTTATTACAGGCGATTCGTGTAGGGCTTTTCATCTATTGCATCACCTCTGACAGATTGACCCAGAAGGGTGCTCCTTTCCATTGGTCCGATGATTGCGAGGCGAGCTTCCAGAAGCTCAAGACAGCCTTGACTACAACACCAGTTCTGGTGTTGCCTTCGGTCCAGGGATGTACACGGTGTATGTGACGCTTCGCGCGTTGGCTTGGGTTGTGTATTGATGCAGGAGGGGTGAGTTATTGTATATGCCTCCCGCCAGCTGAAGATTCATAAGAAAAATTATCCTGTGCACGATCTGGAGTTGGAGCGATTGTTCATGCTCTTAAGATATGGAGGCACCACCTGTACGGGGCTTCATGTGAGGTTTATACCGATCATTGTAGCTTGCAGCATTTGTTCAAGCAGAGGGATTTTAATTTGAGGCAGCGCAGGTGGCTTGAGTTACTGAAGGATTATGAAATCACCATTCTTTATCATCCGGGCAAGGCAAATGTGGTCGCGGAAGCCTTATGCAGAAAGGCTGAGAGTATGGGTAGTTTGGCATTCATTCCAGCAGGGGAGAGGCCACTAGCTTTGGACATTCAGTCCTTGGCTAACAGACTAGTGAGGTTGGACATTTCGGAGCCCAGCCGGGTTCTTGCGGGTATGGTTGCTAAGTCTTCATTACTGGGGGAGATAAAGGCCCTACAGTTCGATGATCCACATTTGGCAGTTCTCAGAGAGCGGTGCTTCAGAGAGGTGCCAAGGAAGTTTCTATCGGCGAGGATGGTGTTCTGCGGCTTCAAGGTCGTCTATGTGTTCCTAATGTCGACGGTCTGAGGGAGAGGATACTAGAGGAGGCACACAGTTCGCGGTATTCCATCCACCCGGGACTACGTGACTTGAGGCAGCATTACCGGTGGCGGAAGATGAAGAAAGACATAGTGGAGTATGTGGCTAGGTGTTTGAATTTCCAGCAGGTCAAGTATGAACATCAGAGATCGGGTGGCCTACTTCAGCAGATGCCTATACCGGAGTGGAAGTGGGAGCGCATTACCATGGATTTCGTAGTTGGGTTGCCGCAGACCTTGCGGAAGTTTGATTCAGTATGGGTCATCGTTGATAGGTTGACAAAGTCGGCCCACTTCATTCCAGTGGCTACTACTTATACAGCAGAAAGGTATGCTCTGATTTATATTCGGGAGATAGTCTGATTGCACAGTGTGCCTGTTTCCATCATATCCGACAGAGGACCTCAGTTCAATTCCCATTTCTGGAGAGCAGTTCAGAGTGAGTTGGGGACCCGTGTAGAGCTTAGCACAGCATTCGATCCTCGGACCGACGGGCAGTCGAAGCGGACAATACAGATTTTAGAGGATATGCTTAGAGCATGTGTGATTGACTTTGGAGGGCAGTGGGACCAGTTCTTTCCCTTGGCGGAGTTTTCATATAACAACAGCTATCAGTCCAGCATTGAGATGGCTCCATACGACGCTCTATATGGTTGCCGTTGTCGTTCTCCTATCGGATGGTTCCAGCCTGGTGAGGCTAAGTTGTATGGTACAGACTTGGTACATGATGCCTTGGATAAGGTGAAGTTGATTCAGGAGAGGCTTCGCACAGCTCAGTCCAGACAGAAGTGCTATGCGGATCAGAAGGCGCGTGATGTATCATTTATGGTCGGCGAGAAGGTTCTCTTGAAAGCCTCGTCCATGAAGGGCATTATGAGGTTTGGGAAGAAGGGCAAGTTGAGTCCAAGGTTTATTGGCCCCTTTGAGGTGTTGAGGAGAGTTGGGGAGGTTGGCTATGAGCTTGCATTACCCCCCCAGCTTATCGGGAGTTCATCCGATTTTTCATGTATCGATGCTTCGGAAGTATCATGCCGACTTTTCCCATGTGTTCGACTTCAGTACTAT